TAGTAAGGAGCAGCCGCTAAGGATTCCATCTCCCAAGTGTTATGGAGTCATCTCCAAAAGTGGTATTGATACACGCAGCATAGTACACACCCTGGGGATGAGGCCCATACCCAGCCTGGTATGCCCCTCTTGCCCTTTCGGTAAACTACTACAAACTAGAAAGAGCAAGGTGCTGGACTAAGACCAGAGCCATATGGTCCTCATGGTTGTACTATAAGTCCTAGGTTGTCACTTAAATATGAGTCCTTATGGAGAGAAACTAGAGCACCATAAGATAAGGCCCCATGCTCTAGCCCCTTGGTTCCATGTTGCTAAAAAACATCTTTTAATACCATGTTGCATATATTTTTAATTGTATTCTTTAATCAATATTAGTTGGAGCAAACTGAGCATACTACCCACATGCAAAACCCATAGGTAAATCAAGGACAGGATAATCAATATCAAGGTAGGTAGACTCCAAGCGGTTCATTAACATATGCATATAAATTGAGATTGCATTAAAGTGGTTCTCCGGTGTGCCTTCCGGCAAGCCTCTCCCGGACCGCTCCCCACAGTCTTCAATATTAAGCTTCTGGCCGAACCGTCGTGGGCCTTGTTCCCTTCGGTACATGGTGGCGGCCACACCATAAACGTGGTTGGTGTGATCTCGTAAGACTACAAGCCCTCCGATGTATAACAATGGTGCGCGCAAGCACCGAGTGATAAGAGGTGTGCAAACCTCACTAAACACTAGGTCTAAACCTAGAGCAAGCGCATAAGCGGTGGTCTAATCAACCTAAGCACTTCGCAAAGCACCTACGCTAATCACCTAATGAATCACTAAGCACTATGCAAGTGGAGATCACTAAAATAGTGTATCAACACCCTTGGTATGTTTCCTCAACTCCACTCTACTGAAATGGCCAGTTGGGGGGTCTATTTATAAGCCCCACTCAGAAAGTAGTCGTTGGGGATGAAACCCACCTTTCTGCTACTTACGGATGCTGTTGTCGTCCTGATCGGACGCGTCTGGTCGTCCCGACCATTGAGCCGCGCGCTGATCGGACTCTGGGTTGAGTTCGGTCATCATCGACCGAATGCGTCCGATCGCGCTGGCGTCGCTCTGGAACCTCTCTAGAAATGATCGGACGCTGCACTTCGTGCATCCGGTCATCCAGTTCCGCTGCGTTCCGGTCACGCTAAAAACATTGCCGTGACGATAAATAGTGTCACCGGTGCATCCGATCACTGCTTCGCTCAGCGTCCGATCACTGCTACTCAACGTCCGGTCACAGCTACCAACTCATGGTGTTGTCGAGCAACTGATCGGATGTGTCTGGTCCTTATTAGGGCCACGTTCGATCACCTCTGTCGAGCTCATTTTTTTGCGATGTTGCATCCGGTTTGGTTCCTATCTTCGTGCTTGGATTTTGCTTGATATCTTGGATTCTCTCTTGTGCTTCTAGGGTCTTTCTTTAAGGTGTTGATCATCGGATCATCATGTCGCCTTTGTCCAAATTATGTCTTGCAACCTATTGAACTTCAAAACAATTACTTACAAATTCATTAGTCCAATTTGGTTGTGTTGGTCATCAAACACCAAAATCCAAAATAAATGGGCCTAGAGTCCATTTTCCTTACAAGCCCACATTCTCCCACAGGAATGAGGTCTGAAGGGTGTATTTGGGTGCCCACCCTAAATTGGGGGCTTGAGTAGGGACCCTGCTAGACCACATTTTTTAGACTGAGCTCCCATATTTAGCTATGGGGGCTTAAGTAGGGGCCCTGCTGGAGTTGCTCTTAGAATCGGTTCCTATTCTTGGCGTGGGTCTTGATACCCAGGCCTAGATATATCACTTCTGATTAAAAAACCAAGATTGAAAGTATAGGCTACCCCCAATTTTTATTTTATCATATATTAGTTGTGTATCTCTAAACTCCACAGTTGGTTCTTGTTATGAACTAGGAGTAATTTTCTTTTTTCTGTAGTCTGGAAGCCACTTTCCCTCTACAGCTTCACAAATTGTACTGGTTATCTAAAATGACTAAGAAAATTAGTTAGTTGAATAGAGAGACGGTGGAGACAATTAAGCTCATCATTAATTCATAGACACACATAAAGTAACATCCACTGATGCCAGTCTCAGTGGCGAGTTTCAAGGCGGCGTTTCCAAGACGACCATGTCATATGAAATGACATAAAACTTGGATGAAACACCCACTCTCAATGGAGAGTTTCATTCTATGGTTTCATAGGCATTTAATTTCATGACTCATAGAGAGTTGGTAATCGTGCCAAAAGAGTTTTATTAATTTCATGACTCATAGAGAGTTGGTAATCGTGCCAAGAGAGTTTCATCTAAATGAAACTTATTTCTTCTCTCACTTCTTAAATACACTGCCATGTCATAAAAATACCTATGTGGCAACCTATTTAATGCAAATGAAACTCCCACTGAGACTGGCCTAATACATCAACACATACACTAGATACTTTCACTTCACTACTACCGTACATCGCATAAGGTCAAAAAGCATTAACAGATGTGGGCAGACCGCCTCCACTTAACAAATTAAGAAAACAAAAAAACCAGCGATCCCGTTTAGGACCCCATAGAGCCCATCCACGAGGCTCGCTAAGCCCATCGACGCGTCGCCATGCTGCTCACCAGATCTGTGCACCATCGCCGTTGTTTCTCCCCAGATCCATGACCCTCCACCGAATGCTCCTCGCTAGATCCATTGGCGCCCACCACCACTGCCGTGCTCCACCAGTGCAGGGAGCCTAGATCTACCGCCAAGAGAAGCCTCCATGGCACCGAGAGCAGCGAGCCAGCCTTGCGCCACCGGGAGCAGTGGGCTAGCCCTACATCGTCGGGAGCCGCAGACCAGCCCCACATGCATTAGGAGCTGCCTTCGTGCCGCAGGGCGACAGGCCCGTGAGCGTTGCCAGGAGACGGCCCTGTGAGCAACGCCGGGAGCCAGCCCTACGCATGTCGCCCCAGCATCCATGGCCGAGTAGACTAGAGAGATTGAGAGATTGTGTTGCGAGAGAGAGAGATACTGCAACTAATTAGGGTTTCCTTCGTTGATATACATAAACTTGTTACAAGGTCATATTAGGCCAGTGGTGGGCTCAGCCTCATTAACAAAGACGGGCCTCTTAAGAGGTTCACCTCAAAAAATGACCACCATTTACAGTATTAAGAGATCCTTGCCTCGTGCCCGATTCGACCATGGCGACTCCCTCTCCTGCCTCATCCATGGCTGCGGGCGTCCTTGCAGCGACGCACTCGACGCCATTCTCAGAGATGGTGGCGGTCACATACTCCGCGTGGCACTAATCCTGACTCCGTGATTGCCAATTAAGCACCACCGGACAAATAGTGTCACGTACTTGGGCCATGTTGTTGCAGCCATGCCTGTGCCATCACGGGGCCATGGCTTCACCGTCGATGCTCGTGAGTGAGGGTACATCACTAGATGCTGCTACGGCCATGCCTGTGTCGTCAAGGAGCTCATCATTGTTGAGATGTTAGCGAGGAGGATGACAGTTGGTGTGGGTCCAGCTTACTGCGGGAGATGCAACTCCCCTCTTATTTGAGGGGAGATGAGGGACATACGGGTGATCACTAGAAATAGGGAGAGCTAGGGAACTACTGTAGTAAGGAAAACACTCATCTCCCCTAATATGACTATTTTATGGGGATGAGGGATGATATTAGGGACTGCTAGAGATGCTCTAAGATCTCGGATCCGCTGTGCTCCTGCCTCCTCTATGTGGTTGGCGTTGTACACGTACGACCACGTGGCGCTGCCTAGCTGCACACCAGCAGCGCAGGCGCAGCCGCACCGAGGGGCACAACGCACAACCACAGAGAGGGGTAGGCCAGGGGAGACACTATGACCCCTCTCGAACTCTCTCGTCTAGCTACAATTGAGAAAGGCGAAAGCGAGCACGTCGGTCTCCACCAGGGGGGTCGGTGGTCTTCCTCGCCTCCGATGGCCCTTGGGGGCTTTACGAGATGGTGGAGACCGCTGGTTTCTTGCCGGTCGGTGGTGGAGGTCCTAGTAGATCTAGGTGTAGGATTTCGGCGATGGCGTTGAGGCGGCGGTGGCTGCATCAAGGAATAAGGTCCTCTTGTGCTATTTCCCATCTCGGCGGTGCTCTACTCTGGTGCCGTCGACGAGTGCGCAGAGGTGGAGTCTGACTTCGTCGGCTCATGTACAAGAGTCTGCGCAATTCAACGTCTTGTCGACTTAGAGAGGCGGCGATGCTGATGACACTATATGTCAAGGATGCAACGACGGTTGTGGGCTATTGTGGTAGGATAGGGAGTGTATTGAGCTTGAGCTTCCCTCGGCGACTGTCGATGGAGAGCTTTGATCCATGGCTAGAGAAGCTTGGGGTGCATCCCCGGCCGATGCTTCTTTAGTGATGGCTTTAGCCCGTCCATGGTGACGGGTGTCTACCGCGGCTCGTGTCAAAGATTCTTTACGATGGGGCTTCTCCACATCTAGGATGCTTTGGGAGCTCTCGATGTCGGTGACGGTTGGCGGTGGAGTTCTCCGACATGTTTGGTTTGCACGGTGACCAGGGGCTTATTTGCTATTTCTATTTTCTATAGGGGCTTCTATGCAAGTTTATCGGAACACCGTATCAGTATCCATACGTACATGTATAATGTTTATTACATGTTTGTATAATAAAAAAAACTGCTCCGGTACTCCTCTACCTAAAAATGGCACGAATCTCAAAGCAGTATATTAAGCTAATTAATCTTTTTACTTATTGGTTCTTTGCCTGGGTGACGCTTGGGCTCAGCCAGTCCAGCCCAGCCCAGAGTCTAGCCCTCGGGCCTCGGCAAACCAAATCGGCTCTCGTTGAAGGAGACTGCGGCGGCCCTTCCCGAGCAGGAGCAGCGGTGGCCGGCAGAACTTCTAGCAAAAACCCCTGGCTCCCCAAACCTCCACCCTCCATTGACATCCACGAAACCCTAGGCGATCCCGGGGCGACGATGGCCACCGGCGACAAACCCCCGTCCCTCGACGCAGACGTTGACATGGGCGACCTAGCTTCCCTCGACGCCTCGGCCGCCACATCCGCCGCTGCGGCCGGCGCGCCTTCCACCCGCTTCCGTCCCAGGGCCAAGGGCAAACCCAGGCCGAAGCCCGAACCCCCCAAACCCGTACCGGTGGCCGTGCCCAAGCTGGAGCCGGAGCCGGTGCCGGTGCGGGAGCCCGATGTCAACCCCGCGGTGCCGCAGGAGGACGCGATGGAGGTGGACAGGGCGGTGGAGGTGGACGGGACGGGTGACGCTCCTGGACTTGGAGAGGGGGCGGATGAGGAGGACTTCGTGGTGCGCGAGATTGATGTGTACTTCAACCCCAAGCCTTTGGACGACGACGCCAAGGTAATGTCCCGCCGAAGTGGCCGAACCCGTCCATGTTGCTTGATTATCGACAGCTTGGTGAATACTGGATATGGTTGCTCGAACTAGCTCTTGTGATTAAGTTAAATTTTGCAGTAAAACTTAGCCAGAAAGAAAGTGGTCCAAACAACCAAGCAGCGTAAATGATAGTGTTTGTGTGGTTACTGGTTGTACAGTTAAATTTTGTTCTCTTCTAGTTCTATTCAAATTTCTGCCGATGCTATTGGATAAACTAGTTCTACTTCTAAGCTACAGAAGAACAATGTGCTTTTGCAGGAAGGTATAGTTTGTGTTGTTTATGATGTTCTATTCTATGCAAGGCATTGTACAAACTTGTTATAAGAAGGCTTATAATTGTTAATTAAACTATCCTGCTGTTTCTTCTAGATTGTGGTAAAAATTAGAATGTGTTCTTACTAAACTTCTGCATATAGAAAATTAACCGGACAATTAGGGCCAGATTAAAAGGTTAATAACTGACTATGGTTGTTTGGTTTGTTTATCTACTATTCTGCCCCAAACATCCAGCAGCAGCATATGTTTGTTTCATCATGATGAATTGAACTTCAGCCCTATTGTACATATTTCGTTCTATCAATATTTGGCTCAAAATTGTTTTTAAATTTGTTATTATCTATATCACAGCTGTACATTGTGCAATATCCCCTGAGGCCATGTTGGCGCCCGTATGAGTTAAATGAGATATGTGAAGAGGTACATACCCATTAACTTCATATACTCTTTTGCTGTTGCAAATTTCTATTATTTAACATATATTTATCTTAAGTAGCTAAAGGATTATGAATATATCAGGTTCGTGTGAAGCCATTGAGTTCAGAAGTTGAAATTGATTTGAGTGTCAATACACAGAGTGAAAATTATGACCAAGAGGCACCTTTGAGACTGACAAAACAGGTGAGTTTATTTCAATCTTGCAAAATCACATGACAGTCTTAAATGTACTTATGAACTTCAAGGTGAAGTTTAATTATCTGTGATACCCTCAGGCAAAGTTGAAGAATTGTGCTCACTTGTTGGTTGAATCTGATTAGTGTCGTTGCAATTATCCTATTTTTATGTTCAATGCCTGGGCACTTGCATGATTGTCGTTTTCTTGATGAACCTTAGATTTGTCCTTAGTTGTGTGATGGTCACTTCAGTTGGTGCACCTTACTTTTGTTCTTTATGAGAACTTGATCTTCCTTCATGACTATGTTTTTTACCATTTCGACTGTTCCCTGCTCTTTGTGCTTGTTGCAAGTGATTTATGAACTTTCTGCTCATTGTTTGTACAAAATAACATCTACTCCCTCCATAAAAAAAACTTGTTACAATTTTAGGACAGTGAAGGTAAATTACCTAGGTGCCCCTATTAATTGATGTCTTTTGGTTTCATTTGCCGCGTGACTGAAGGGACACATGCAGCCTCCACTAGTTATTACTCGTGTGCATGCATGCATGCGGTTGGAAGAGAGGGAGGTTGATTTAATGTATGTGGGCTCCATTGAGTCACTGACTGTCTAAGTGCTACAGTGACATGTTTTGTGGGTCAAAATTTGAATCCTTGAATGCTCATGTTTTTTGGGATGGAGGTAACAATTTGTTTTGTTTTACTATTGCATAATCTTGATGTGAAGTATGACATGGATTTTCAGATCCAGCTTTAGCTTAGAGTTACTGATAAAGATTGGCTATTTTCTTTTCCATCAAGTAACGATAAAAACCCTTGTTGAGACTGAGTTTTGTATGCTTCTGTGTGCTAGTTTTAGAGTCTATCAAAAGAGATGGGGCATCAATATTTGCATTATGCAGAAAATATCAATCTGTCCTGTTCTTGTGGTGCAGCAGCTGGCTGCCAGCGCCATCACGTCATTCCTTCATTTTGTGTTGATGAGATTTTACTTGCTTTTAGCATAACTTACCTTTTGAAATGTGATATGACCTGCATGTTTCACACTGGTTTAGTAGTATTGTGATTGTGTTATTTGATGGCCAGTTTGAGATACTTTAGCCGTGCTGCATAATTTAGATACTCATAAGAATAGCTACCTTTGTAGTAAAATACTGCTATTTTCTATTTAGATATTTCACACGTATTTATATTTTTGGTATCTTTTGTTGAGTTTCATCTTTACCATCGTTCAATGATTTTAATACCAAAGAGCCAACATAAAAAGGCAACCACCTGTATGAACTATGAAGATAGAACAGAAAAAGAACCAGCAATGAACTGAAAGTTTTTTTCAAAAAGCTACTACTACTATTATGCTAAATGGGAAAACGAATTAGATTCTCTAGAGAGTCTGCATAGTTACTAGTTCTGAACTAAAATATGGATGCCCCTTTGGTATGTTCCATCTTGTATCTTGTTGTTGTATACTATCTCAGGTCCAATACTTTATGCTTTGTACATGCATGCGGTCATATTTTGTAAGATTTGAATATGACCGTATTTTAAAATATTTAAATAGGAAGAACCAATTCAATGTTTTTTGTGTTTTATATACAATATTGCACTCTCCAGCCCTGAAAACAATGGTGTTTTAGACAATGACACGAAGTGTAACTTTGACTATTATGTCCTATATGAATATTTCTGCAAAATAGTGAAAATATCACAAAGTCATGATATTACGAAAATACTTTCTGAGACAAGTCTGCATATGATTCTTTCAGTCTATATAGTTTGAAAGAGAATCTAAGTTTCAAAAATTGGCTGGCACCATGACCAAATTCCCAGTTTCTGTGACAGGACACAGGAGAACAATATAAGTTGGTTAAGTTGTGTTTTAATGATGGTGCCTGTTTTAAAATTGCCAAGTGTACGTGACCAAAGTGACAATCATAATAAACTGTAACTTTGCTAGTTGAGTTAATATAATGTTCTTCTCTAGCACTTGTGATGGTATCTTAAATGGATAAAATTGTTCTGCTCCCATGTAAATAATTTTACTGCATATTTTGTTTATATATATCATTGATATTATGTTTTTTTGTCCTTATTTTGTGTTTTTAAAAGACACTATCATCATCCAAGGCAGCTGATGTTACTGATTACGCAGTTGGTGTTCTTAAAGGCAACTTGGTAAGTAATATGACAGCTTCTCTGGTTCTTGGTTTCTGTTGGCAAAGTGTTTATGAGTAGCTAGGCCGTAGCCTAGGGAATTGTGGCATTGCATATTTAGGATGGATACTGTGGTAACAATAATGAAACAAATTCTACATGTCCTAAATGTTCGATACTGCTTATTTTGGTTGTATTAGTTTATTTCAGGGTCAGTTTAGCTTCATGCCTGCGTATTAAGGTGCTGCCTTCCTATCTGATATAAATTATTCAGCAATGAGCCCCTTTTCTTTGCCACCAGAGAGAACTTGTCCGCTGGTAGTCTATTATCCTGCTAGGACACATGAAATAATTACTAGCATTAGATGTTTATTTGGTATGATTTTCTTTGTGGTCAATCTCTTGCGTTGTTTTACAGGTTCATTTGAATCATATTGATGCAGTGGTGCAAATGCGACCATCAATGTCACATGTTATTTCTGGCCGGGCACATACTAGCCAGGCTTCACAACCCCGGGAAATGAATGGTGGTGCTAGTGGATCAATGGATTCATCTCGTAAGGTGTTGTAACATTCTCTGTCTGTCAGATTTAGTACCATTTCTTGCTGTAAAGGTTTACTGACTTGAAATTATGAAATGATCTGGTTAGCTGTTTTCTTCTGTGCTGTAGCCCTTTGAGTATGTCCATTATGTGTAAAATTTTGTCTTGTTCAATACTTGGTCCAATTATTTGAAACATCTGGAGTCTAATTGCCTGCAATTATGAGCTGGATTTTTTGTTTGCATGGAATAAGAGTTACTCGTCACTCGCTTTTTTATCCGAAATGCCAAGGAGAATAGATTAGTACAGCATTGGAATATGGCCTGACATGTTTTGTCCCTGATTTCTCTAATAAACGTTTTATTACTTCTTCCCCTTGCTAATGTCAGATTATTATTTTTTCTAATGTTGAGTTGTCCATTTTTTGGTTGATGAGCTGCTACTTTCTGTTGTGATTATTTTGGTCAGTTACTGATAAAAGAAGTGCCATTATTAGTAGGTTAGTGTAGCTTCTTGTGCTATGGTCTATTCATGATCATGTCTTGTGCTTACAGGGAAATGAGCGCCCCGAAGACTCCAAGGACCAAGCAGAAGATTCTGAGGTTTGAAATAATGTTATCATTTTTATTTCTTATTTTCTTAGAAATTTGTTGTGTAGCTAGTTTTCATGATCACTTTTGGTACTGTTATGTTCTATTTTATCATATCTGCTGAGGGGTCTTGTACTTTTGCGACATTAGTTGTGTTAGTCAAGTTTGCTTTTGATGATCATTGCATTGTAACTTGGTTAAAATTCATAGTATTTTTGTACCTTTCTACTGTTGCTTAAACTTTAAAGCTGTTCTTAACAATGACATGCTCTTCTGTTGTTGCAGCCATGGATTTCTCTTGCCTACCAACCAGCAGGGAGCAATATTGCAACTAAGTACCATGATAAGATGATATCAAATGAGGGTGCGCCTATTGATTTCACAATGAGCACGTGAGTGTCTTCAAGGTTTTTTATCATTGTCTTCTAAAAAAGTAGTTTGATATTAGTACTGCAGCCTTCTTTGCTGACCTTTTTCCTTTTATTTAATGGATATATGCGCACACTAGAACTAGTATTCCAATCCCAAGAGTTTTCTTACATCGTCATGGTCGAAATGCGTCTTTCACCAATATTTTATAATGTAATATAACATGAAGAGAGGCAGAGGAAGACCGAAGTTGACTTGGGTAGAGGCAATAAAAGGAGACTTGAAAGGATGGAATATACTCAAAGACTTAGCCTTAGATAGGAGTGCTTGGAAAACAGCTATTCACGTGCCTGAACCTTGATTGCTTCTGCTGGATTTCAACTCTAGCCTACCCCAACTTGTTTGGGACTTAAAGGCTTTGTTGTTGTTGTTGTTGTTGTATATACATAGTTCCTCACTAAAATTATTAGTAGTATGGAGTACTTTTGAATGCTATTATGCCCAGTTTAAATACTCAAATATATCATTGATAACGGAAGTATTAAGGTGCATAAGTACATAACATGAGTACATGACTTAGTCTGGGGAGGATTATGTGCAACTTCAAAAAATAGCAGATTTACCAATATTGGGCCCACAGATTAGATCAAAATTGGCATAAACTAGAAACTGATGTGGCCTTGACTTGTAGGATTGAGTGATGGATTATCTATTATCTTTTGCTGTTTGCAACAAATTAATCTAAATGGATCCAATAAGATTAGTCTACTAAATTGCAAACAACTGCTACTTGCTTTCAGTTTCCATTGGTTCCTGTTTGCTTGCCACTTCATTTCTAGCAAAGCACCATTGCTGTTGCTGCTCGGTTGTTATAAAGGCAAGTGGCAAGGTGACATGACATATAACTGATGCCTAATTACCACTAAGCCGGCATCAAGATGTTAGGCAGAAATGTGGTGCCTAGCGCTTAGGCTCGGTAGATGCTGATTTGCCTGCCTAGGTCCACTTTTGAGCACATGATTGTCAATGCATGAATAGGAAAAACTAATGATTAGAGTGGAATAGCTTATTGAATCCTTTGGAATGAATACATGTATTGCTCACCAGGTTGCTTGAGTTGACCCATAATAGCCAAAAATAAGTGTACAATGTTGAGATTTGTAGTTTCCACATTCATGGATCAGGAGCTTTGATTCTAAATCTGTCACATTCATAATATTGAGGTGGTGAGACTACAAAAATGCTGCATGTAATGATCTTTTGTCTAAAACAGGCTTGGCGTGGCTAGATACTGATACCGCAACAGGAGCTGAAAGCATAGAATATCTGAATTAAAAAAAAGTTGTAATATTAATAATAGTCGGCCACTATCCTAGCTCACGGTTTGGGCACATGGAGTGCTAAGTTTCATTTTTTCTGTATAATTAAACATTCCAAGTCTCCCTTTACTGCATCCACCCACTTAATATGCATTGTAATGGAAAGATAACAATGCAACAACTTACTAGCATAACTGCAATATCTACATTGGTATCAATATTCAACTTTGTTTCGTCAGCATTGTATTTCTCCTTATTTGCTGTGTTATCATCAATGCCAGGGGTGATGTGAATTTTTATCAAACGATCAGCCTTTTTACCTACCTTGTTAAAAACTGATCCTGTCTTGTTTTTCAGCTCTGATTATGTAACGTCCTTATGTCCTGGAGCCTCTACTAACAGCAAGCATATCAACAAATGCCAAGCAATAAGGTGCAGTATGCATCATTTCCCTATTCTTCTTTTGCTTTGGTTAGAGAAACTGTGAGTGGTGGACCAGCTCATTTTGCACTTATCCTATGATAATGGTAATATTGAGTGCTTCTTTTCTTTTCATTTATGATTTTGTAAAGGCTATTTTCTCTGCTTTTTTCAAGAGAACTAGAACTCTGCATATTGTTAGTTGGAAAATACAAATAGGGGAAAATCATATATGTAAGTATGGTATGAATAATGTTGTCAAACAAAAATATAATTCTGCGAACTGTTAAATGAAGAAATTTGGTGACAACACTAAGTGGGATAAAAGCTAATAAGTATCTTATTGTGACTTCCTGTCATGACCATGGAGCCCTGGGCGCGCTTATGCGCTGGGCGACGGGGTACCGCCTCGCCTAGGGGGGTAGGCGGGTACCTAGGCGGCTGCCCAACTGCTATGTCTTGCGTGGCGGCCAGATCCGCCAAGGCGGGGACCCGTGGGGGCGGCACGGAGGTCGGGAGACGATGGGGGCGGAGCTAACGTGAGGCAGCGGCGGCCGGTGGGGCAAGAGGCGGCGTCAGGCGGTGGCGGCGGGCAGATCCGCCAAAGCAGGGACGTGTGGGGGCGGTGCGGACGTCAGGCGGCGGTGGGGGAGGAGGTAACGTTGGTGGGGAAGGAGGCGACGTTGGGGCGTCGGGCGATCGGCGCATGGTGGCAAGAGCGACTAAGCGAGCGTGAGTGAGAGGCCGGGAGGAGAGAGACAGAACAGAGAGAATTTGGGAGGAGGGATAATACTTGGGCCCAGACTTGGTTTGGGGGGGGGGGAGGGGGGCTTACCGTGGGAGACTTGGGCCATTATTGGGCCTTCTCCTCTTTCTCCCCATTCTATGACCACTGGTCTGCTATTTTTTCCTTTTCTTTTAAGTATTTATGCATATATTAGCTACCGCCTAGGAAAACGCCTAGGCTCTAGGCGGTGGGTCACTGCCTAGAGAGCGCCTAGCGCCTTTTTGAACCTTGCTGGAGCCTTGAACCTAGTTATTTATGTTAGTCGCTGAATTCTCACTCTTGGTAGTAGGAGAATTCTTACTCTCATCGAGAGAGGATGACACAAGGAGTTGGGGCAATTTTCTTGTCTATTTCTTACTCTAATGCCATGCCAACCTGAGGGGTTGGGGTTACATATTTATAGGCTGCTAACCAGCCAAGCATATGCCAAGATGCTAGTCTAAGATGCTAATATGCTGTCCTAGCTAAGATGCTGTCCTCTAGTCTAAGATGCTGTCCTCTAAGATGCTGTCCTGCTGTCCTCTAGTCTAAGATGCTGTCCTAAAAACAGAAAAACAGCCACAAGGACCATGTGAGCAGTACAACCCCACAAAGACCACACATGAGACTTATCCATCAATTTAAGAGGCAGGGTGGAAACAGCTTGAAGGAGGGAGGTGGAATGAAGAGTTTGATAGATCTAGACTGCAGGAACTAACTTGTTTCTGTCTCGCTGAATTTTCTGAACTGTGCATATTCTCTTGCTGTGTAGGGAGTGTCCTAACAAAGTAACAATTCAATATGCCCCTTAGCCATTTGGTCATGAAAAAGTGTCGCTTTTACATGTTATTTATATATATATATATATATATATATATATATTACTAAAATAATCTCAACTTAGACTGATGGTGTTAGTCGCTGAATTTTCACTCTTGGTAGTAGCAGAATTCTTACTCTCATCGAGAGAGGATGACACTAGGAGTTAGGATAATTTTCTGGTTTATTTCTCACACAAACTCACACAAATGCCATGCCAACCTGAGGGGTTGGGGATACATATTTATAGGCTGCTAGCCAGCCAAGGATAAGCCTAGATGCTATCCTAGATGCTAAGATGCCAGTCAAGGATGCTGCTGCTGCTGTCCCAGTCAAGGATGCTGTCCTTGATGGCAGCAAAAACCACAAAGACCACCATGCTGCTGCAGCAAAAACCACAAAGACTGCTGTAGCCCCACATCGACCACAGAGACTTATCCATCAGATGGGTCATGACAGATGACACACCATCATAGTATGCTGATTTCCCACCACCTATCTGATAATAGTAGATGTTGAAACATTGCCTATGCTAACTATTTGTGCTCATGTGATTAGTCAGTTCTTTGGGCAATAGGTTAACTACTTGACATCGGAGATGCTAGGTTTACTGTTATTTGAATTTCGACATCTGATATTTGTTGAATAATATTTGTGTTTCTCTGTTAGCTTTTTGATACTTATGAACCTGTTTCAGGGACTGATGAATTGTGTAGTGCTATTTTACCACCGTAGTGGGAAATTGCTGTTACTGATGTCACAAAGCATGCTATGAAAGCCCAGCTTAGTTTGCTACATCCAATATTTTGCAAGAAAACTGTCTTCCTTCAAATGTTTGTATTTTGCATTTTCCTGAACAGCTATGTTTCAAATTTCTTCATTTCTAGTGATAGCCTTTTATTCCACTTCTTTCTTTGGTTGTTGTCACTGTCTGAACTATATAATGCATTTTGAAATACAAGTTACATATTTTTTTTATCTGCTTTCATAACAGGGAAATGCTTTTGCTACCGCTGGAAGAATGCCTGAAAAAATGGTTTACTGAGGTTAGATTGAGATGCTCCCATTTTAATGAATGCTTGGAACTCTAATGATTTAGAAAAAGAAAAAGTGAAGAATCTATCAATAATTGAAGTTGTTTTGTACCTTTTTTTTTACATTCACCTGTTTAAAATAGGTTTCAGAAGTAAATGAATTTGATGCTCTGAAGCACCTTGCTCCAACCTATTCAGAGGAAGAAATTTTGAAAGTGCTTCCAGAGTATGCATATTTGGTGCGTGGTTTATGGGTCTGCAAAAGTTCTTTGTTGTTTGATGATGAATATGCTTCCAAAAGAGATAGAGTTCTCCTTGAATTTACAAAAAGGGATTCCATCCCTTTAAATATTATAGACGCATGGATCAGAGTGGACGACCTCAAGAGGAAGAGGATACTGTCTCCATTGTGTAGAAGACGTGGAATTTTAAAGGACTATAAATTTATATCGGCAGATTTGTCCTTTCTAAAACGCTATCCTCATGTAGTCAATGAACAAGAGTGTGCTTGGTCTGCTCGTGAGATGACTATCCGTGAGTCCCAAAAAATGTGCACTACTGTGGCAAGGAAGACCAAGAATTCAGCCAGACCTAACCTTACTTCTAAAGGGCCTCATCCAAACATGAGCAAGGGCAGGGATGGCCCTTCTCAAGGAAGTGATGACCTTGTGCTGTCTGTTTTGGGTACTGTTTTCACTGCCAACAAAGTTCGCAGGTCAGTTCTTATAAATTAAGTCACCCTGGCTTTTCACCTTTTCTGATTCTGATTCACCATAAATATTTGTCGATCCAGTATCTTGCACCGAGTAAATTCATTCAGTCAGTTCTAACTGCTTCCTGTACATTTCCCCCTTGATACTGCATCTTATTTAATCTTATGTTATGTCTTGGATAGGTGCCAAATAACAGTTAACTGGGATATAAAATGATATATGCCTGTGTTACTGCAGCATGCAGGCAATTATTAGAGACTTGCGCCAGTTGGCTGCAAAATATGCTTCCAATAGAAAGGATGGATCCAAACTGCAAGCTCTGTCCAATGCTGCAAAATCTTGTGCGTCGCTCCCTCCTGATGAGCTCAACAAATCGATTTGTCAAGTTGCTGTTCCTGTTCATAGTGTATTTGTTGCAAAGCATGAGGAGAGGGGTGCTTTACGGTAATGCACTAAAGCAAATTTGAAAATGCATAGAATACCATTTTGAAATTTACAGAGCTATATATGTATTTATTCAAATTTTTTTGCTACAGAAACATATTCATTTTGCTCTTCAAACACAAAGAACCCAATGCAACATTGACCAAGCAGGAAATTCTTGCTGCTGCTGCGAAGCATATAAAAAGAGAGATTACTGACAGAGAGTACCATCAGGTGTGGAATGAAATCACTTGTTTTAATGCTGCTTCTTTGTATATCGCTCAACAACTAACTTGGTGCATTAATGGAATGGTGTGGGAATTGCCTGCAATATTGTTACAATGCAAAATATTACCATGCAGATTCATCTAGTCATCCCATGTAATCACTGATGAAGATGCAGTAGAAAATTATTTGAAACATAACAGCCACAATCCTTTGTATCAGAATTTTGTGCTCTAAAGTTCTGATAAGTAGTGCTTCTTTAAAAGGAAGTACATTTTTTAGTAGTTTTGACTTTTTTTTGTTAGCAACAGGTTTCATGGTATATCAGTTCTAATGTTTAAAGTTTTGACATGCATGGGTAACTTTAACACGCTTTGGTTACTTTTAGGTTGTGACTGAGATCTGCGTTTCTACTGAACGCTTGCAATTGAAAAATGGTGATGAGCCCTGAGTTCACTATGATATGCCTTGTAAAGGTCCAAGTTGGACTTTTTAAATGAAGGTATGTTTACTTTTCTTTTATATATAGAAATTCTAGTTAACTGACAATAAATCATGTGAAAAGCGAATATGGTAATGAACCATACCATAAAATGAAATATGGTACCTGATAGTCTATTAAACTGAGGACCATTTGTCCCAACTTTCCTCACCATAAGATGGAAGTGAGACCTTACCTGGAAAAGTCTGTCAATTCTTATATCATTTTGTTGTGAAATGGAATGTTACGGCGTGGGCAGTGAGGAGATCGCAGGGGAGAGTGGAGGAGTAATCGGGACTGGGAATTGGAGCGCAAAGAGTAGCGAGGCAATGGCGCGGTGTGGATCTCACCGGCGGCAGCCACTGAACCGTGTGCAGCCACCACCCACCCGCCTAGGGAGGTTTATTCCTTCGATAAATCCTGATCACAATTCCTAAGTGCCCTTTATAGTCCAGGTGCACTCCCTAACAAACTGTGAATGAATCTCCTAAAAATTCTCCCTAATTGCTCTCTTCCCATAACTGCCGCAGCAGCCTAGCCACTGGTCGTTGTGGGACGCCTGGTCCAGCGCCTATAGCGGCGCCCGACAAAGGAGTCCACAACATAGAACTGAGATGTCACCTGACAAGATCTGGCAACATTGAGAATGTGTTGTCATTATGTCACCGCATGGATTACAAAAGCCAACCATTTACTGGTTTATTTACCAGGAGGTAGCTGTGGCAACAACTGGAGACATGTTTTGAGCTACCTTTTCATTCATCTAGTTAGTATATGAGCAGCTCTCTTGTGTATTCTACTAAAAAGTATCTAGTTAGTATGAGTAGATTTTTTCATACACCCTTGTGGGCTTCACATGACGTGTTGGTTGACATGGTGTGATTGTAGCAGATAAAACTGGCAATAGCAGAGATCTCGAAACTTTAGAGGGTACTGCCAAAAATAAGCAAGAAGTTGAATCAGTAATAATAATGCTAGCAGAGTAGAGAGGTATCTGTATCACTAGCAAAGCAGAGAGTAGCACCATAATACCAGCGCAACCTCTTAGGCAAAGGAGCTATTGGTGACTTCTACAAAGTTGCACCAGCACCTTTGTCAGCACTAGCATCTGTTCTTAGGAAAAGTCCCTCCAAAAGTGCCAACTTACTAGAGAAAAAAACAATGTTTGGTTTGTGAGTTGTGACAAAGCAAAACCAAAATTTATGTCCATTTTGCTGGGTTCGGTTCATTATTCTCTAAACCAAACACATTGCCAATCTTTTATGGTTTCACCTGCAGGGTTAGGTGAAAGTTGGGCCTGGTGTAGGCTACCGGTTTTGAATTTTTACCAGACCCCATCATCAAGGCTGGTTATCTCTTCAGTTATTAAATTCAACTCATCAGTAAGGCTAGCTATCATGTAGCTTTGGTTCTCCAATTCAGCTTTTCATAAACTCAGTCTCGTGAGGAGTTATGAATAGGTCTTGTGAGCAGTTATGAATAGGTGGCGGAGTGAGCAATGATATTGGTCTTTGATCTTAATTTGTGTATTACAGTTACAGTTAACAGGGTCCAAATAAACTTAGTTTCTTTGAGAAAATTGCGTGTGCGCCACTGAATGATTCAATAATGCCGAACAAGCCGCCGAAAAATTGGTCTGAACATGAGTGCCATCGAGAATTAGTTTACATTCTATGAGTGCCACTACCGTCAACACCGTCAGGTTAGCTGCCGTCAACCCAGTTTGGAGTTTCTTCTTTTTTTGACAAATCCCCATTTTACCCTTGCCGGTGAACTGGGCGATGTGGACAGTCATGAAGGCCGACCAGTTCATCTCGGATTGCTCAAAACCCTAGGGTGAGTGACTGCGCCGGTTCCCAGGCTGCGACAACATATCTCGGTGGCGGGCGGGTGGCTTCTCTGAAGCAGCGGCGGTTCCCCGGCGGCAGTGGGCGTTTCCAGGCGATGGTCTCGCGTCCAGTGGCGGGCTGTTCCCAGGCAGCGGGCGGGCTGCGGTGGCTCCCCGGCGGCAGTGTGCATTTGCAGGCGGTGGCGCTCACGTCCGGTGGCGGGCGGCGGGCGGTGGGCGGCCTGCGACACGGGGTTCCTGGCCAGCGACGCGCGGGTCCTGTCCCACGGCGTGAGGCTCCTGATTTTGTGACGCCAGGCGTTTGGCGGCCCCGACATGCGGCTCCTGGTGGGGATGTGAAACGCCAGGAAGCCCGCGTCATCGCCGCGGGCGTGGTGATGGGTTAATGTAACATGAGATTTCGTGAAATTTCAGTGAATTTTTGAACTCAGAACATGTATTTTTCTAATGAAATATTTTACTCCCCCTATTATATTTTGCCAGCTTCTCTTCTTGTTTACAGTACTTCGTACTTAGCGAGAGGCTGAATTTTGCTGCGCTTCAGAATTTAGATCATCCAAAAATAACAATATTGACATAACATGTAGTGGCACACATAGAAACTGAATTTTACTGCACTTCACTATGAACCAAGGGCATAAACGTCTTTGTACACTAGACATAACTGTTGTTTCACCATCTATAGATGGTAGTGGCACTTAGAACATAAACCAATTTTCGGTGGCACTCATGTCCAGACCAAATTTTCGGTGGCTTGCCTGGCATTGTTAAATCATTCAGTGGCACACACGTAATTTTCTGTTTCTTTTGGCTGATTAATGCTGCTACTGACTACTGATGGAAATTCATAAACCTGGTTACAACTTCGCCACGTTTCCACCTATCATTTCGCCAACACTGACTGCAACCAAAACTTCCTTTTTTTATCTACTTCAAATTTGTCAGGAAATGCTAATAATGGTTCTTCATTATTTCTACCAGGATTCCTATTAACTGACAGAAGATTTTTACAGCTGACCTAAATGTCAGCCCTCATCGTGTTACCTATCCTACTTACATATTTTTGGGTGTTATTATATATATAATATATTGGTCTGCTCAGCTATATTGGTATGTTGTTTCAAGTTTATTTTTGTCTGGAATTTGTTTCTTGTATAGTATGAACCTTTAATCAAATAACTTAAATCTTATTTTGTTTATTCCAACAGGGTATTGCAAGTTTGGGTTAGCAAACTCAGTACGTAACCAGTCAGTCTAAATTAATCATTAATCATAGTTTCTACCACATTTTGCCCTCGGTCTTATCATGGTTACAAATTCTTTTCATGGAAACAAGGTTTCTGAAAAAGCTAGGGATTGTGCCACATTTGGAAGCTGCTGTTGCCACGGTTGAAATGATATTTCTGTGGGTTGACAATATTGCCATTGTGTATACTTTTGCTGCTAATTATTATCGGTTTGAAACGTACCACTTTTACTTTTGGAAGAATTGCACTCAAGTTTAAACTTCCATCTTTTTAATTCTGGTGGTTTATTTATCTGTTGACCGTTCCCCTCCTGTTGGTAATGGCGTGCCCAAGAAAATGATTTTGTCCCTATACTTTCCAAGGTTACTGAACGCTAATGACAGAATATTTCGAGCTCCCTGTGACGTTCATGTCAGCCCTAAATTTACAATAGAACAACCATTTCTGCTGAGTCCAGCCGAAAACTCTACAGCTATTTCTGCTGAGTGAAGCCGAAAACTCTATAGCTACAGATTGTAATTTTACAAAGTGTACCTTTTCTGTCACAGTAGCGGCATTTGCACATGTGACACGAGTGACGAGTCAAAAACAACAAAAGGAAAAGATTTGGCAATCTTCAATCTTTCACTCAAAATTGCAGTTCACAAGCACTAGTGCATGAACTTGGCATATTACTCGATGCGTTTTCAGGAACATATTAAGGAAAAAAAAGGCGGGGTTTGGAAATTATTGTTTCATCTCCCGTTCATCTTAAGAGATGCTGTTTTTTTTTACCCAAATGTGTCTGCGGCGAAAAGAAGGGTGCAACGTGGCAGGCTACCAGGTTTGCCCAGATCAAGGCCAAAAGCCTATATAATAAGACACCTTGATATTACGATGTAGCAACCTGAACAGCGTCTCCTGATTACAATGAGAGCTAATCTCTATCTCTACTTCTACCCCTATAATATACTACTTCAAATTATTCTAAAGCCACCAAATAAATGCCATATCTACAGTTATACGTCCTGTTCGTTTGGGCTTGTTTGACTGATAAGCTATGGCTGAAAGTACTGTTGGCTAATTTGGTGTGAGAGAAAAATACTATAAAAAATACGGCTTATAAGCCAAACAAGGCTAAATGAATAAGACGATAAACTAAACTACGTCCACTCCAAAAAACCCACGTACAAATAGACCACGCTAAAAACATATGGATCAGATTAACTCACGTACTCTCTCCTCTTTACTCAACCACATCCAACGGTCCTTCTTCTTTCATCTGCAGTGCGGCATCTCCCACGCCCGCGCCCGGCCCCGAGGCCAGCTCACCGAAGCCAGAGTTCGATTCCTCAAATCCTTGACCTGTCTTTTTTTTCGTGGAAATAAAAAAAATACCGCCCCTCCCTCTCTTTCCCGAGGCGGCGGCGGGGGCAGGGCGAGGGCGCCCCGGCAGCCCTTCCTTCCTCACCCCCACGCGGGCGCCTCCCCCTCTCCCTCCGGCGCCTGCGCGGCCAGCTGGTGCCCGCGCCCCAGCCCCTCGTGCGCGGGAAACGGTGTCGGGGAAGGCGAAGGAGGTGGCGGCTCCAATGACCTTGACCTTGATCCACTCGAGGAAGGCCCAGATGCGCCGAGGAGGCTGTGGATCGGGCCTTCGTGGCGACTACCTCCACTCATCCGTCCTCGCCCCGGAGGCAGCCAGCCCAAAGGCGCGGCGGGCCTAGAGGGGCGCCCCAGCGGTTGTTCGCCCGAGGGCGTGGTGGCAGCGGAGGTGGCACCCTTGCTGACGTCGTGGCCGGTGCTGCGGCAACGGGAGCAATCGTCGTGGCTGGGGGTCCGAACCACCATCGCAATTGTTCTTGAAGATGCTCTATCTGATCTTCCAGAAGTAAGTAACAATCTTTGAGATTCTAGACCTATCTGCCCATGCTTTACCTTACTTTGTCCGCATCACCCAAAGGAAGGGGCTACACCATGTTCCGGCATGAAATGATAGTTTACTTGCGAGGGTACATTTGCTGACATTAGGTAGGTATAAGCAATCTTCACTTAATTTAACAGCCGTTTAATTTAGAAGCTGTTCTCTACATCTTGTGAGGGTACACCTTTTTTTCTGCAATGTAATTTGGTTGTTTTAGAAGAACAGTTGTGTTATTTTAAAATAACAGAATGCACTGTGCTAGCAGTAAGTTAGTGTTGAATAATGTACTGCAGATATACGTATCTCCTGATTTATTCTGTTAATTAACTTTTACTAACAGGCTACATTGGGCTGGTTACAAACAAGAATGGATGATCAAGGAGTTTTCAACACAATTAAAGAAGCTGTCAATTTGCATCAATCAAAGATCTAAAAAGTATATGATCAGTGGTGTTATTTTGTAATTGCGGTTGCAGGGAGGGGTTTGGCCGATCTGTAGCACAGGTTGAGGAAGGTGCATAGCAGCTAATCAATGCGGAATGTGGCATTCATTATGTGATAAAAATATTAATGAATCTCATTGCTCATTTCATTTTTAATATGCTTTGTATTTTACTGTAGCGTTAGCTGGCTTATGTAATTACTGCACCAGCTAAGCAGGGCGTAAACTGTTAAGCTTGATACCTCTGGTCTCCTTTTTCCCTACAATCTCTAATCTCTCTTCCAGTTTGCGTGCTGCAGTAGCAGCCTAGCAGGGCACTGGGGCTGGGCACCGGCACCTCTGACATCTCTCCCCATTGCGGCTAAGATGCAGTAGCAGGAATCGATGGCATGTTTTGGCTTTCCCTTAGCAGCTGGCGAACTTGCTATCAAATGGTTACCAGAGAATAGGATTCTGTAGATCTTTTTGATCTCATGTTTTTTTTTTACTCTGTTACTATTAGGGGTCACTGAGAAGGAAAGATGTTATGGACTTATGGGTCTATTGATTTAATCTTGTTTTACTTGTCATATTTGTTTTGGAAATTTGGAATAAATTGAGACTGTTAAGCTTGTTTTTCCAATTGAGATTGTTACAAAATATTTGTATTGGAATAAATTGCCTTTGGGAAATAAAAACACCAATCAAACTGTGGGTTATTAAGTTGCAGCAAATGGGAATGTAATTTGCAGCTAATCCTCTACTTCAGTTTGTTTGGGTGGTTTTTTTTCTTATATGTGGTACAATGGCAGTCTCGTAGCTGAGAATAAGTACTTGATGGGTATGTGCTGCCACTACAAGAGGTTAGGCCTTCTATGACCAACTGATTATAACAATTACAGCCTTTTTCTTGTCATTGTATCTTAGATATCACCGTAGTGTTAGCACGGGCATTATACTAGTAAATAAAATAATTCAGCAACAAGGTTGTCTATTGACACCAAATTCAGGAGGCACCTACCTAAGCAATGACATGGATGCAACGGCCTTTGACTAGGGGCCTAAGTCCAAAAAAAAAAAGGTGTCTTTGTACTGTGGATACATAGCTCTTGCTGTGTACCTAGATATAGGCTATCTAAAATAAATCATGAATAACTTGTAATTTAGAAAAGAGGGAGTAGTAGATATGGTGAGGCCACGACAAGTACAACTTGCAATTGAAAATTTTCCTTTTCTATCGGCTGCAAAATTGTTAGGAAATACTTACCCTGGTTTTAATTATTATTTTTAGCAGGATTCTTATTAACTATAATAGAAGATTTTTACAGCTGACCCCTCATCGTATCATATTACCTATCCTACATTCCTACCTGCATATTTTCAGGTGTTATATAATATATATACTGGCTGGTCCACTCAACATATGGGTAATATGTTTCTAGTTTATTTTCGTCTGGAATTTATTTATCTTATAGTATGATTATTTAATCTAATAACTTATTGTTACTTTGTTTACTCAAACAAGGTATTGCAAGTTCAGGTTAGCAAAATCAGTACATAATAACGAGTCCTAGTCATAGTTTCTACCACTTTGTGTCCATATTCTTTCCGTGGAAACAAGATTGCATAGAAAGCTCGCTAGGATTGTGCGGATTGTGCCGCATTTGGAAGCGGCTGTTGCCATGGTTGGAATGATATTTCGGTGTGTTAATGATTGTGTCATTGTCTATATTTTTTTTAATACTCCATTTTGAACGTACCACTTCACTTCCGGATGAATTGCACTAAAGTTTAAACTTCCCTCTCTTTAATTCTAGTTATTTGTTGAGTGTGTTCCTGCTGGTGGTTTGTATCTGCTGTGTATTCTGCCGGTAATCGCCTGCCCAAGAAAGCGATTTTTTTTTAATACGTATACTTGACAAGGTCGCTGAGCGCTCGTGACAGCATATTTCCACCTGTGCACTCACTGAGGTTATTGTCAGCTATTATTAAAGTAATAGAAAATAGAATAATCATTTCTGCTCAGTTAAGGGCCTTTACAAATTATCTCCTATAACTTTACATGGACTGTACCTTTTCTGTCACAGTACCAGCATTGTACATGGGACACAAGTACATGCGATCTTTGTATCATGGGTCATGCTTGGCTCTGTATATGCCAACATTGGGGTAAACAAAAAAAAAAAAAAAGAAAAATAATTTGGCAATCATCAATCTTTTACTCACACCTGAAAATCTTCAAAATGCCGTCTAGATCTTCAGTTCTCACACTATGTACATCATCGCCTGTTGAGACAGACAATTCAGAAGACGCTGTCATCCAACAGCTCAAAAGCCAGCTATCTCACATCCTGAAGCTAACAACAATTAAAATCCATCTACAAAAACAATAACGAAAATCCTTCGTTGGTTCACGTCTTTTTTGCATTATTAGGAAAACAAAATGTACAAACTGCGGTCAATAAGCACTCATGCGTTGACTTTTCTACTCAAACTCAGTATTTCTAAAGTAACATAACAATAATGTTAAAAAAGGCCGCAAATTATTGTTTCACCTCCTGTTCATTGTTCATCTCAGAAGAGATGCTATATATATTATTACAATGTCTGATTAAAAAAAGGAGCTAATAAAAAAAATTCAGCAACAAAATTGTCCATTGACAGAACTGACCATGGCATTGCTTACACATTAAGAGTTCATCAAAACTTTCCTAATCGCGACGGCCAAGACCAAAACCAGGAGGCACCTAAGCAGTGACATGGATGCAGCAGCCTTGATCAGGGGTCTAACAATGGTGCTAGCAGAGAAGGTGAGGCCACGTACCTCAATGAAACGGTTCATCAGCAGCTCACGCTCAGCCTGTGGCTGGTAGCTCTGCTCCTTGGAAGACGAAGAAGAACTGCTGCTGCATCCTCCTCCTTCTCTGGTGGTGGTGGCCTTCTTCTTCTTCAGCAGCTCAGGGCTTGGTCCTTCGAAGTTCCTCTGCCGCTGCGGCGTGACGCCGTCGAGCTTTGCGTGGATCTCGGCTAGTATCTGGGAATGTGCGTCCCCGACGGACAAGGTGGATTCTCTTAGCTTTGTGAGCTCGGTTTGGAGAGACTGCATGGTGACCTTGATCTGCTCGATGTCGGCTTCCAACGCGGCGTTGCTCTTGCACGATTTCTCGTCTTCCTTGGCGATGATCTCTGGCGAGGCCCGGCCCGCTGAGCGCACGCCGCATTGCGCTTGCGCGGAGTAGCTCGGCGCGCGCCGGGGGAGGCGGTGGGAGGCCGACCGGTGCAGCCTGGGCGTTGGCGTCGTCGCCCACTCCTCCTCCCTGCCGATCACCTCGCCGATGTCCGAGACTGTCCTCGCCGGCCTCCGGTCGCCGACCGTCGACTTCTTGCCGGCGTCGCTGTCGACCACGACGTCGAGCTCCGAGCAGAGCTCCTCCAGGTGTGCCGCCGGGAGGGACGCGTTCCTCCTGGACGCCACGGTGCCGTTCTTGGCCAGCTTCCGCAGCCAGGGGAGATCGACGGCCGGCGAAAGGGGATCGTCCCCGGTGGCGTGGACGGCGAGCAGCCTGCGGTTGAGCGAGCTTATCTCCATCTCCTGGTGGAAGACGACGGCCTTGAGGAACGCGAGCGTGTCCTCGTCGTGCTGGATCCGCTCCTCCGCCACCCGGCGGAACTGCTCCGCCTCCATACGCTCCGCCGCTTTCTCCGCCTGCAGGCGCACGATCATGGCCAGCGCCTCGTCGGCCCCTGACGACGCCGCCTGCCGCTCCTCCTCCAGCTCCGCCCGCAGCTCCTCCACCGCCTGCGCCTGCTGCCTCAGGGCCTCCCGCAGCGCCGCCACCTCGCCTTCTTCCTCAACACCTCCGGCCATCGTCGATTCGGTTCCACAGCCACGGGATCTTCAGAAGGAAAAAGATTTGCACTAACATAGAAATGTCAAATCAATAGAACAGTGGATGCACACCTCTGGAAACAACGGAATCTTCAGAGAAACAAAAAGAAAATATATGATTTAGGATCACTGGATTATGACAAATCTTGCTTTTTAGCTGGCTTGTCATCAGCAAAAGAATCCAAAGTGGACGATGACAAGCCGTCACGTAACCGTGTGTTTATCCAAATCCGAAAGAAAAGAAACTAGCAGGCAGACAAGGCACCAACCTTTGAGAGAGAGATCGTGTTGCTGAAGCTGAAACGGACGCCGGAAGCTCTGATTTTCCAACGAGGATGTGATGTTGAGTGATCTTCAAGTGTCAATAATTGGCGACTTTAGGAGCAAGGAAAGCTATATTTGTTGCATAAACTAATCTTTCTTAACCGTCATTGTGACAGGGGCAAGAAGAAAGCTGTAGTGCCAAAGAGTGGCTTTAATCCATTGGCTTGATACATAAGGTACCCATTGAATTTTGTTTAAACAATTTCCCTGATTTGTTAAATTACATTAGCCGGCACAATCATTTCCCAGTTCCTCCAGAATCTGTCAGTCTGGCCCCAAATAAAATATGAAGGAATTTAAATTAAAAGAAAAAAAACGGAATCAAGTCATCAGTCAACTCGATAGGAACTGTGGGCCCCACATATGGCTCCGGTGATGGGCTACATCTGTTTCAATGGATTTGGACGTGGGGCCACTTGTTTTTAAACGACCGTCACGAAGAAACCAAAGCAAGCGTGGGATGGCGCGGCGCGAAGGACCCAAGGACGGAGGCGCCGACAGGCCAGTCGGCAACTGCCACGTGGCCGAACGGCATTTTCAATAGGTTGAAATGTTGGATTAACTTGGAATGCGACGGGGTCTCTTTTGTCAAATATTCTCATTTGGCGAGTTTCTTTGTCTTTTGAGACAATTTGTTGAATTCTTCTTACAATGACAAGGCACATATATCGCCTGCAATATTCGTACAAAATTGAACTAATTATTAAAGTTGCTATACATGTACGATAAAAGAGATTGCATATATTAGGATCGATGATAAAAGATGGGTAGAGCTGTACACTCCTAACTCATAACACAG